GCCAAATAAGCGCATTCAGTGGACAAGTCTGAAATTTGCCATTAGAAATCCAGATGAAGAGTTCAGTGTCATCCTGAACTATAATTCCACTGCCATTTACCCTCTCTTTACTGACAATGAACAGCCCTCAACGTCCAGTCTATAAGAAAGCAAGAGAAAGCATTTGGTTTATTAATGATTAATAATTGTTTAACAAATGTTAAATAATTGTCTGCCTACTAACAGTCAAATGGGCCAAATATATAATATATGGGATGGTATTTAACCAAATAATTAACCAAGTAATTCCTATCAATTTAACAGGCAATTTACATGTGATATACAACAAAGTAAAGGGAACTCTTACATTCATCTTGCATAATTAAAACACACACATAAGCTTTCCCCAGGTTTAGGTTGATTGTAGCTACATACTTCCTTGCTTCCCTAGTGAGAATATGGCTTTCTCATATTTACTTTTCTCATTATTTTGTGTCTTAAGACCGTGCACAAAGAATCAACTGGGGACAAAACAATTTCTTTAGGTTTTTGGTATTGACCTTGTGGACCCATGAGTGCTGCAATTAAAAGAGAAGGGGGTTTTGCTCCCTGGGTCACTGGAAGTAAGGCCAGATTTTTGATCTGCATCCAAGTCCAATATGTCATCACGTGTGAACAGGAGAGGTTAAAAGGGCAGATTTTTAAGCATTTGACTGTGCGACTGCTGCCTGATTTGCATACTCTTAGTTTTACAGTTGAACACGCAAATTTGGCAACTATGCACACAAATGGTTCCTTGCAACTTTGAAATTTTAAAATATATAATTAGTGTATGAATAGTCAGATGAGTAAGTTGCTGTACCTACAGAAGATCTATACCCACATTCATAATAGTCTGAGTTAATGCTGAAATTAATGGTATTTTCCTAAATGAAGTTAAATGAAAACATCTGAATTTTCATGCAAAAATGAGATTTGCAATTAGACAAAACTTTTTTTTGTCTGTTCTACAAACAGATGAGCAGATATACCAAAAAGATAAGGTAACTTTCTCTCTTCAAATATAACAGCCATTATCCTTTCTAATTTATAACAATGCTGTCTTTCTACAGATGTTTTCCTTAGACATTTTTAGTGCTTTTTAAGTATCAGCAATTAAACTTTGCAATGCTAAGATCACCAGAAGGTAAAAACTGGTAATGTAACCAGTGAGAATTGCTGAAGAACTTTGGTTGACACACTTACTTGTACTAAATATTGGCTAACACATTGGGGCAATACCTCATAAAACTGCAAGCAGCATTGAGATGCTTTTTTAGTCAAAGACTTCAAATTTAATGTCTAATCAAAAAGACACCTCTGAGCAGCACAATACCTTTAAATACCAAGTGCATTTGGCATTAGAGTAGTTCTGACTCAACAGAAAGAGTGCCAGTTGACACTGATAAAGAAAAGACAATGATAAAGAAAAAACATTTCTCTCTAGCAATTAACTATTTCCAACACTGAAGATGTCATAGAGCATTCAACATTCTATCATCTGAGTTTTCAGAAGCAATGCTGGTTGTTTTTTTTCCCTGTTTTTTGCTATAAAAGGGAATAGCTTACTGGAAAATATGAAAGCATTTCAGATTTTTAAAAAATCCCAGTTTTTCTCTCTTGTTGACAGCGTTTAGAAAATGTGGGTTGACTTGTTTTTGATTGCTGTTTAAATAACAGATTAATTTAATAATCATTGGAATATTGAATAACAACAAATTATGGGGTGGGACAGCCAAACTCTGACCCTAATGACATTCTTAGGTTAATTCTTATTTTCTTTTAGGCTCCTGCTTTCTTAATAAAACCTAAATTTCTGAAATTCATTTTTAAACATTGCAAACTATCCCAAAGTAGCATTTATTTTTTTGCTAGTGAGAGATAAGTTTACATATAGAGAGTGTATTTTATATGTCTGTAAACATTTAGTGCCTGACACGAAGTCCACTTAAGTGTATAGGTACCCTTCTATTGATTAAGTCTTAAGAGATGGCCAAAAAGCTGAGCCAGCTATTTACAAAGTAATTAGCATGCAGTCCTTTCTACTGTGTGATTTATTTGTGAGGATACTTTGATTTAAATCCAAGCACCCATGACTAAAAATTATGATTGGAAATATTTATAAGAACAAGGCTTACTTTTCATGACTACAGTTGGTAACTGTTCCCCTTGGTAGCTGTGAAGTGCGGAGTCTTTCTGTAAGACCAGTAAGAGCACACCCAGAACAGAATAAGATGGAGCCTCTGACTCTCACCATATGACCTTGTTGACTACGACTGTGACTTTGTTAGCAATAACACAGTATTTGTGCTCCAAAATGTCTTATCTAAGTAACATTATATGGTTTCAATTAACATCAGTCATCATTTTTACTTCTACTGAGAGACTGCTTTTAGTCTCCTTTTTCAGACAAGGGCTCTATAGTAGACCCTGTAGGAACAAAAGACAGTGACTTGAATGAGTAACCTGTTACACAAAGTTTCTTGCAGCAGATTATTTCCACAACTTTTGTTTGCAAACTTGTTCACAAGTGACTTTTCCAGTGCCTTTCAAACAGGTTTGCAATATTGGAGTGGGTGTATATTCAGCCAAATATTTACAAATAACTTCTTATATTTGTAATCAAGATTTTCAAGTATATATCACAAACAAATTAATCTATAACATGATCCAAGGACACAGAAAATAATCCCACTGACTCAAAGGGATCTGAATCAAGAGCCTAGTATGTAGCAGATGCCGTGCAGATTAACCATTGAACACAGTGTCAGTTCAAGACACACTGTATGTACAGTTGAACCCTAATTTTGACTGATTGAGCCCATCATTCTTAAATTACAAGTATTAAGCAATACACTTGCTTGTAAAAATATTTATTGGTACTGAGGCCATGAAACAGAAAACTCGGTCAGAAGATGTAGGTCTACAAAGGACTTTGGGTCAAATTCCTTAGCTGTTCTGCGGGAAAGTGTTCTGGGTTATAACAAAAATATTTGGAATCCAATGCAGTCTGCAATCTTAGATGCAATTTGTAGATTGTTAATGACAGTGGGTAAACGGTATAACGAAGAACTTTCCCATGAGAATTTAATAGTTCTTCTGGATTATTTCTTTAGGTTTTGCCATTGCTTGTGGAGAAAAATAATGGGTGCCTTGAGATCAGTTTGTAACTTACAGGGTTTTCTTCTATTTTTTTGTTCCACTGTGGAACACAAGATGTTTTTCTATGAAAAAGATCTTAGCACATTATTTTTGAAATACTATAATTTTCACTAAACTCAGTTTCCAACTCAGCGCTGTCCAAGTATTGCAGAATTGTGTTGTTTTTGAAAGTTATTTCCTTTGACCTGAAGTTACCTAAGAAGACACACTGAAATCTGCATTCCTTTGAGAAAACCTGGTCCTGTTAAATTAATCTTCCTTTCATGGAATCATGTCTGTTTGCAATATTTAAACAGAATCATAGAATGGTTTGGGTTGGAAGGGACCTTAAAGATCATCTAGTTCCAACACCCTTGCCATGGGCAGGGACACCTTCCACTAGATGAGGCTGCTCAAAGCCCCATCCAACCCAGCCTTGAACACTTCCAGGGATGTATGATAATTTGTTGCACAACTTCTCAGTAATCTTCTGCTAAATGATCACAAAATAAGGCTGCTTGAATTCTACAATGATGGCATGAAGCACTCATAGCAGTTTAACATACATTGTATTTGATATGTCAAGCGGAAAAATCACGGCTTGATTTTGTTGAGTTTGTACTTTTCAGGCAGTGGGACCTATTGTAACACTTAAAGGGTTCCCTAGGATCAATTTACAAAGCATTTTCATGCTTCTATCCCACAAAGCTATTTAAAAACAATTATTCATACTAGATATTAATAATTTCCTTGTAATTAAAAGTTGGTCAGCAGCAAATTAAAAGCGAGTATTTGCACTTAAAACATATCTCCAGTGTACTTCTATTTCCTGTTCTAAAGCAATGAAGTTATCGGGGAGAAAATTTAGGAGCAAGTCCAGAAGCACACCTATTGACTTCAAAAGAGAAGTTTTCCCCTTTATTTGCTAATTGCGTATTGATTTAGTCAGGAAAAGGAGAGTTGTAACAATTTTTAACTTATAAATTCTTCCTGATATTTATATCAATAGACAAATTATTGCTGTAAATACTAACCTCCTTTGCGATGATGACCTCTCAGCACAAAGAAAACCCAATTAAGAGACTTACTGAACTAAGAAAGTTGCATAAACTATACCTATGCAAATCTTCAATTAAAATGTACCATAACTACAGTAAAAATTTCACTCCACATAGGCACTAAATGCAGAGAAAAGACATTTTCAGTATGAAGGAGGAAAGCTAGACTGAAGTCTTTCTCTTCTTTTAACCCTATGAGGGACAACTTTACAGTAGCACTGGTAGAACTGACAAGGTTGCAGCACTGACATGTGAGATTTGTTACTATTAATTCAGCTTCCCAGCAGTGCAAGTTTGGAGAATAGATTTAATCCTCTCCCACTCTTTCAGCCTAACAATTCTAAGAAGGAAACACTGTTTGGCATTCAGGTAAAACAACCAGATCTCACTGTACCACAAGGGAACGTCTAACCTATTCAGCAGTGTTTCACTCCTGTATAGGAGAGCTATCAGCACTAACTTTTTGTATCTAAATCTTTACAGAATATGCCCTTAGAATGCTGCCTGTGTCCAGGAAAATTTTTAAAACATTCACCATTCTTTGAAATTAGCATAAACCTCTATTGGTTTTACATTTTCTGGTAGAAAATAATAGGCACTGTTTTAATTTAAGAGTATCAAGCCTTTAAATGACCCCTGTAATAAGAGAAATGACACCCTGACAGAGGTCATTATATAAGATAAAACATAACAGACTTGTACGTTCTTCAACATAACCTTGAATAATTCAGTTTTATTGCTTTGTCACAAACAGTTGTATAAAAAAAAATTGAAAGGGCTTACTTGAAACAGTCATCGCAAGCAATATTCCCCATGGTCTCCTTTATAGTGCGTTCGGAAACAAAAGCTGGATATTCAGTATCACAGGGCTCTAGGGTTTGTTTCAACCTCTGCGCTATAGGCACAGGAAAAAATATCTTGATGTTAACATGGGAAGAACAGCACACAAAATTCTGAAGAACATGAGATGTTGTATTACAGAGCTCACAGAGAACAGAAATGTTACTCGGCTTCTGCCACCCTGTGAGATTTCCTAGGCAGTGCATAACACTATTTTTTCAATTAAAAAAAAAAAAAAAAAAATCCATGGAATGCAATTTTGTAAGACATAACTGTTGAAGTAGTTATTCATGGTTTAGCCATTACCAGCCTACTTCATATTTATGCACAAGCTTTTATTCCTTCTCTGTAGATTCAAGATGGACTTACTGTCATTTTTATTTCAGTAATGCTGTGCATTGCTAAGTGTTATATATGGGGGTTTACATTTATTTGATATCTAAATTGTGGTACATTTTACTGAAGCCAGAAACACTTTTTGGATTACAGCTTGGGAATCTTTGCAGAGTTTCATCAGTCAGAATAACTCTGTCGGTGGGGGGCAGAAGTGTTACTTCAACCAGAACCAATGCGTCTTATCTGCCTCCCAAAATAGTAATAATAACACTCCATAAGACTTTTAATCTGAAGCCTTTGCAGTGCAAGGGAAAAGAAAGTATCACTATTTACATATTAAAGATTAGGAAATTGAGGTAACAGGAAGGAGTGAGAATGGTTCAAGGTCAAACTACAGGACAGCAGCAAAGCTGGGAACCGAAGGTAGCTCTTCTGACTCATACTGATGTATCTGTTGGACAATTTCTGTCCCTCATTCCCTTTCTTTTTCCTCCCCACCCCTTCATTCTTCCTTAACACACAGATACACTTGCACATCAGCGCAAATGTTAAGCCTATCTTAAACTAATTGCTAAGTGAGAAAACAAGACGAGATATGACAAAAATAGATTACACTAAACAGGCTCTTGGACTCAACAGATCTTCCATTCAAGATAATCTGCTTCAGAGCCAGTGGTGTATCTACTGCGCAGTGCTAGGAGAATGACCAAAACTGCATTTGTAATCATGCACTAGGACATGCATTTCTGAACTGTACATAATTGTGTATATAATTAAAAAAATATTCTCCCAAATGCACAGATCTCAAGGGAGGTGCTAAAGTTGGACAGAAAAGTTTTTTCTGATGTTTTCACTACAGTCGTGACATATTAAACAATTCAGCATTTAAAAAAAAAATTGTCTGACTAGCTCTACTCCACCTTCTCCCTTTCTCTTCTGTTCTCCTTATCTGTTGCCAAGAATGACTGAAATTTATCACCTGTATTTTGAGTCTACCCTCATTTGCATCAACATATGGCTTTTGTAACAAAGAGACTGCCAAAGATCCATGCGTCTCAGATTTCCAGCACCTTGTTAGAGCCCAGAAGATGATGGCATAGCCCAAGCTTTAGGGCATCAGTTTCTTCTCTCTTATTTACAAATGTGATTGAGATTACAAGATCTTGTGCAGAAGTATTTTTCATACTAGGGTGTGGTAGTTTGGCAGGTGTGTGTGGACCCTCTAGGATCTTCGTAATATGTGATGCTCTACTAATGTGACAATTTGAGCAGGAAGCAATTTCCCAATTAGAGGAACTGATTTTTTTTTTTCTGAGCTTTGTTAAGCATTGTTAAGTTAAAAAATGTGCAAGTTCATTAGTTTTAATTTCATGAAGTCCAGTCATAATTATTACAACTCTTAGTGGTAACGTAGCATCTACAGAAGAACATACCTAAGCACATGCTTTTCTCTCCTGCTGACTTCTCTCCTGTGAAATCTCTGTTGCTTTTGCTTTACCAACACATGGTTTCCAAACAACTATCACTTGCTACCTAACCAAATTTGAACTGGGCAAGCAGTACCATAAAATGATGACATTCCAATGAGCATGATGAGGGTGTATTTTCAATACTCTTACTCATCAAAGAAATGGAGCAAGTGAATTGCATAGTCAAAACTTCACTTTCAACTAAAACATGAATGAAAATGCCTCAGTCATGCTTGTCTGTCAAAGTGCTGTAATGATAGTTTTGTCTTTAAGAAAAGAAAGGTTGCAAGTTATTAATACCTGTCTTCTGTAGTTAGTACATGCTTAAAATACAAAACAGACATTCACTTTCATGAGATGAAGAGGGATGCTGATTTTAAAGGATATTTTCCCTAAAATACAATGTAAGCGCCATTAGACGTTTCAAGTCAGGATATATTAGGCATATTTGTACAGTACACTTGAAAAAAACATCCAAAAAATGTTACCTGTTTCCTAGAGTGGCTGCTTTGCGCTGTTCTGCAAACATCAAGGACTAAGACTGGCATACCTGCCATGCCTCTTCAGATATAAGGAACAGTTTTGCATTTTTTGGGTCTAGCACAGCAAACCCTACCATCCTTCACAGCCATCAGTGAAAGACACATTTTTCATCAGGGTTAGGGAAATCACTAGAAAGTTAGTCTTGGTTTTTAGAAGACCTATCTAGGCCTACAAAGCAGCCCCAAAAGCCAATCGTGTCTAGCTGATTCTCACGAAGCTCTATTTGTGTATGTGCATCCAATCTACAGGAGGCTCATTGTTCATGTAACAGAAGAACTGGCTTCAGTGTTTTGATGCAGTGTGCAGCTTACATCAGTACAGGAAAGGCTGTACTAAGTTCATGCACCTAAATTTCTAGAAGACTTTTATCAAATCTTCACCTCCAGTAGACACTCATCTCAGCCTCCCCTTCTCCCCACACAGTGTTTACAGCATATTAGGCAGCAACCTGATACATGCTTTGCCATTTACTGCCATACTTTCCAATAGCTCCCAAACAGATCTTTCCACTAGAAGAGCTCCAGCATTTTATGTCTGCAGGGATACTGGAATATTCTAGGGCATCAGTATGTTCCATTTTCCCGATACCTTAACTTCAGACAGGATATTATTTTGGCGTGAAAACAGTCTAGTGCCCAGGCAATACAAATATAAACCGAAGCCTAAAGTCGTAATTTTATCCCCTGCTTTGCAAAGGAATATGCAAATCTGCAAATACAAGGCTGAAGAATTAATTTTAAATCATTATACCAGTAAATGGCATGCAGAATAATTTCCCTATGAAACAGTCAATTGAAGAGCACTGCTCTTGTAAATTAGCCCTTTACTTTTGAGCAACACTTCTGAAATGCCATAAAAAGTCTGCTAAAATACGAGACAGTTGACATCGAAAACTTCCAGTTCTTATGGAAACTGTTAAAATTTCATTGTTTCAAATGAAGCCTTCGCATTTTTAAAAATTATTTTGAGTAAACTGAATTTTAATTGATCTAGATTTTATTACATTTAAATGTCTATTTCTAATAGGATGATAAAACAAAATACAGTTTTAACCAGTCTTGTTTAAAAATAAAAGCATAAAATTTACTATCTTAAGCCTTAAAAATTATTTTCTTATGGAATTATATTAAGATGACCATGTTCCTGTGGACTTTTGTTGAAATGGCATTTCCCAGCACAATAATCCCCCTATGTATTACAGCAGCGCTAGAAAAAATATAGTATAAGCAGAAAAAGGCGAGTGTAAGTGTTTTATTCACAAAGACTGTTTTGGAATGAAGGAAAATGTTTTTAAAAAACATATTTAATCATTATTTACTATTTTAACTTTTGCAGTGTAGTAGTGTACTGTATTTCTAGAGTACACACAAGCAGTTTGTGGTCATTCATAGAAGATCTTAATCTTGTGTTTTGTGTTGTGTTTTGATAAAAATTAACAAAGAAGAGGATGGGAGACAAAGTATTGTTATCAGACATCTATTATTTAATCTAAAGCATTTTATGCACACCTAAATTTCAAAAATCCAATTTAATCTAGCAATTTCTTCTATTATGGTCAGGAAAAAAAAGAAATTACACTTACCTTTTGCTGTTAGATCAGAGTGCCACCAACTGCATAGATTAAATTCCACAAGGAACCTAGAGAAATTATTAGAGTTTTCATTTTATCCCACAGAATGTTTTCAAAACACTACACTGGCAGTAGTTCGATACCATTAATCCTATTTTAAATAAAAGCTAACATAGTACTGAAATTCACGTTACTGGCATAACTCTGGCATTATCAACAACTGCTTTTCTCATCTTTTCACTGGGTTGTATCTTACCACCAAGAATTTATTCTGAAATTAACTCCATCAATAAATCATAGATTCACCTATTATTAATTTAAATTATTGATCTTATTTGAAGTGTCCATTAAAATTCTCAATGCTTGACAGTATACAGTATTTTTACTGTTGAACATTATTGAACATTACTTCTTCATTATGCAGGTATTTTGACTTTCTATTAAAATGCTGTAGGATTATAACTGTTCTGGCTACAGTACAGAGGTAGACAAAAACCCCCTTTATTATATTAATTCTGGAACTAAAACAAAAAAAACTATTTTATTTCCAGGAGTAGAAAAGAGTGATTACCTAGTGTCTAATCAACTCTAAGTAGACATGCAAAGAACGCATTTTCCCACTAAAATATACTGCAATTTACTTTGAAGAATGTACTGAAATGTCTCTATCTAGCAGTTACTGTTAAGTGTAAAGAATGTGAAACCAACATCCAGTTTATTATATGGCAATGAAACTACAATACTCACAAACACAGAAAGTTTCTTGAAATTTTTGAAGCTGTTATATGCTAGCTTCGAACTCTCATTTTAACATGATTTCTTTCCCTGATACTTACTTTGAAAGCTGCATTTAAGATCAATTTCTGCCCTCTGGCAATAGCCATTCAGTTAATTCTCCTTAACTCTTATTCCAAACTGATGAAAGTTTATACAATTTACAGTTGAAACAAAATGACTACGAGAAAAGATTAGTTCTATTTCAATTTAAATCTGCAACTCTGCTGTCCGATAAGAACAATAATAAAACATATAGGTTAATAACACAAGATATATTTTAAGGCTTCCTCTTTTCCATATGCTGTTTCTCTGTGATTTCTTAGGCAATCACTCTTAAAGGCAATGCTCATTATATATTAACTGGAAATGTTAGAAGAATTAGGCCAGGTAAAAAAATTCAGCAACATCCAGAGTACACCTTATCTGGCATATACTGTAAAAGGTCCATCTTACAGAAATTCATGAAGTGACAAACAATACAATGAATCACTATAACAGTTTGCTATATTGACAACAGCCCACCCAAGCAGCATTACAAACAGTCAGACATTTATATAAAATTTCACAGTAACCACAATAATAAATTTGGTATATATATTGCAATCTGCTAGACTTACTAAGCAAACACATACGGATATAAGTGAAGATCATGAATAATGTAATAAAAGTGCAACTGTGCATTCATATAGCAAAAATTTTCTCAGATTTTAACTATGCAAAACTAGAAAGCAAAAAATTGACAAATATTACTATATTTAAAATCATATAATAAAAGCAGCACAATGTATGCAAAAGGCAAAAAGTACAAATATTCAGTAATTCATACAAATATTCATTAAGTTCTTGATAAAATTTACTTACAAGACAAGCTCAGTCATAATCCATTTTACTGCAGCAAAGAAGGCATTATAAGGCTGAAGAGAAGCAATTCATTTAATAAAAAGTCAAAACATGCAGTATTTATGTCAACTGAATTCTTCATGTAAAGATAACGTTATGGATAGTCAAATGCATGGGTAGCATGAGAAAAAGAACAGTATCTTTTTCTTATGAAGAAGCAAGTATTATATTGAATATTAAAATGTATAGTAATGAAATTCCCTTTTAATGTGGTTGGTCATATACACAAATTATCACTTGGAAAAGGAGTTTTGCAAACGGTTCTGAAATCTTTAACCTCTAGGGGTTCCTATTTCCCAGGCTATTGCTGGAGGAACAGCTCTGGTAGATAATATGAGCCTTTCTTAGGCTGCAATTCACAGACTTGCCTCTCTATAATATAAATCTGTATTCATCACCTCAGTCTAATTAAGCTTGGAGAAGCTTCTGAAGTTTGAATTTACCTAAATGAAGTTACCTGTGTCATATGGAAGGCCCAGTTGTAAGCACTTTTGAGTAGTTTTTAAGATTCTTCCCTTCTGCCTCAATTTTTCTGCATCACAATAAATACAGCAAACCTGTGTTTACAGTACTTCTACTACATTTTGAATATTTTATTTTTGAAAAGAATATCAATAGAATCATTCTTTTATGAAAGAATCTCAGGTAGAAAACTCAGTTTCCAGAAATTTGGAAAGGAATCTAACCTTGTCTCACTCGTTTGTGTTAGGGTCTACTAGTTGCATAAAATTTTGCAGACTTTTTAGATTTCATATCAACAGAGTATTTTAGCACATGTAAGAAGTCATATTGACTTTAACAGAGCTACTCAGATATCTAAGATCATGCTTAATCGTCCTGAATCAACACCTTACTGAAGCAGTGCCATTTTGCACAGCAGTAACTGGCCATTTAAAATTTTCAGAGGCCACAGAGTATTTCTGCACAGAGCTGATAACTCACAGAGTCAATGAACTAGTGTCAGTCAGTGGGATGAAAGGCTGAAACAGCAGGCTAGCAGAACACATAATGCCCGAGACAGTAAAGATTTTCACCTATTAAGGACTGTCTTATAGGAAAAGATAAAAAGTTACAAGTCTTTCCTAGAGATGAAAAGAAAACAAAATTTCAGCCCTGTGGGACTTCTTATTTATTTTCATTCCAAATCAGAAAACCTGACATTTCAAACCCAAGTAATTACCTTTGTTGCATACATACATGCATGTAAAAGAATATATTTATTATTATTTATGAACCATACATATTTAATGTAAAATATACTATGTATTATAAAACTATTTTAATATGAGAAGTAAAAGAAAATTTAAAAACTCAATATATCTGAACAAAAATTTCAATAATATGAATAGAAAATGAGAAAAAGAATCTGTTATGAAATTTTAGTGGAAAAACATTTCATTACATTGATATAAATTCATTCTCATTAAATGTGATTTTAGTAAGACAGTCTTTTCCACTCAAAGACTGTTCCTTCAAAAACTGCAGCAAAAACTGCAGGAGTTTTATCCTGTCTATGTATCTAAACCACCATTGAAAGACAAAGGAATTGAGCTGGGTGACTCTGGCACCAATACGTTTGCAACAAAGTGATTCTATGGTGAGTTATCTAGGACTTGAATAAATTATAACAAGAAAATATGCTAAATAACAAAGTATCTGGATATCTTTTAAGCAATTCTATACTGGTAAAGAAATGGACTAGATGATCTATAAATCTAGTCCATCCCTAATTCATCATTTTAGTCTCACAGCCTAAAAAGCTAGGACAGAAAGAGAGGTCCAGCCCTGCCACCTGTTTTCCATGATTTTGGCAGAATGTTGTGATAGATCCTTTAGTAGTCATACAGTCTGTGATGCCTACATTCCACTTCTACGCTGTTTAAAATACAAACTTTTTAGAGAGTCTCAGTCTTGTCCCTATATCTGATCCTGTATTTATAAAACCATAATTCTCAAAAGAAAGGATAAACATTTGTGAACAAACATTTTGCTTATGTAGAAACTGTACTGAATACTGCCTAATGACCTCATCTATATGTACACAACTGGGCATGAAAACAGGGAAAAAATACTTTCGAGTAATCTAGCCCTACCTGTTTTTAATGCAAGTTCTCTTTATACTTTCTCTGTAGTCATGGTTATTAGAAGTGACTGAATCAACTGGAAAATAATAAAACAAGCAAAGCTCTGCCCATCTTTCCTGTCGAACATCACAAAAACTGACTTGAGGTTTAAAGAAGAGTTTGACTATCTTTAAAAAAATAAAGAATATGCTTGCCATCTCTCAGTGTACCCCACAACAGTTGCAGAGTTTTTTCTTTGTGAACACAGCCTGGACAAAAATTGGAATAGTGAAAATCTCTTGGGCTAAAGCACACTTGTAAGAGAGAAGTACTTCAGCTTTACATGCTGGATGCTTATGTAAACTGAGCTGAAGCCCCAAGCCTTGGGATGGGAGGTTGTTGCTAAGAATTGAAATATATTTCAAATTTTTTCATGCAAATGTGATTCACAGCGTCCCATTCTATTTCATCGATAATTGAAGTCTCATTGCACAGCCTGCTACTTATTATGTCAAGATAGCCTTTTTTCAGGTTCAGGCTTTAGCAGATAACAGACTGATAAATGCAGTAAACCCAAATGCCAGTATTTAAAAAACAGTCTTATGTAAATATGTAAATGAAAACATCCCAAAATGCATACGATTAATAATCAGGCCTTGCAGAGGGACAGGGTTTGTATTCGGATCTAATTGCAAGACAGAGGTTTAAATGCATCGAAATTCTACTTTAAAAGACTTCTTCTTTAAATACTAAGGAAAAAAAAAGTGTGAAAATCACTGACTTGTATATCTTGCCAAGGAATCAATCCTTTCATATATTAAAAAAAAAAACAACTCAATTTTAATTCAAATTACATTTCTGCATGTGTGTATGAGCTTACATACAGAACAGGCATATGTGATTCCAGTCCCCCAAACAAAACATAATCTATTGGCAAATTTACAAAATTCTAAGAAGGAGGATTCATATTCTGACAAAACTTTAGAAATGGTTTCCCAGCATTAAAAATCATGGTGTAAATATTTGAGTTTGAAAATGCTTAACACTTTGCATTTGTTTATAATGAACCATTCCTTGTATGCACTAGGAGGAAAGTAGAGCTGTAAGCATTCCAAATCAAAATAATGGGCTTACAATGGCCATGAGATATTTGCAACAATTTTCTTTGATGATTGCATGGAAAGGTGCTCAGAAAATTTACTATACTTACGTCCAGTAAGCTATGGGCACTGTCGCTACTCTCTTTGTTTGTTCTACACATGGCCTGGTAGTCATAAAGTGTAATTCTACAGAGAAGAACAGAAAACTGCTTGACTAAAAGAAGGAAAAACAGTGGAATAAAAATGATGATATGGAACAGTCTGCCCACAAAGTAGACAGGAAAATAAAAATTGTAACAGCAGCAGGGAAAAGAGGGAAAGGGATCATTAAAATACAGGTTACACAGGTTACATTTGTAAGGATTTTATCAGACTACAGAACAAAGCAGAAGCGTAACTGGGAGAAACCAGGGAAGATACACATACAGTGTAACACACAATGATATAAACAATGCGAGGAGAAGGAGAATACACATTCAACATGATGCTTAAACAATTGGTTCTGGACTAAGATCAGCACATTTAGCCCCAGAAAGTAAAAGAATCTATGCATTTGAGGGACTTCTTACAACAGAACACTCCTGAAGTCCAGTAAAAGCAGAAAGACACTTCTACAGTTCCAGCATCTCAGTGCACAACTAATTTGTAAAAACATGGCGTTGCTTCCAAAGAATAGAGAAGTGGAATTTCAATGTATTCACAGTACAGATAATTGAAGCAGGATGGGTTTACTTTTCCTACTTTTCATGAGGGCAAAATATTCCATGTCAGGTACCTGCTGTAATCAACATATGCTGGAAGCCTCCTCAGATGCATAGTAAACGAGGAAATTTCTTTCTGCTTGTGTTTCTACTCATCATTGATACACTTCAGAGATCTAAATATAAAATCCAGAACTCAGAGATAGTACATGGAATTGTGATTATTTCTCTAAATCTGTTTGTCCATAGAACAATTAATTAACTATTTCGACCCAGATAAAAAGCATTTAACATCTATAGCAGATGTAAAGAATCTTTAGCTGATAAGTGGCAACAAGTGTAAATATATAAAAGTTACTAGTATCATTTGAACATATCCATTTGACTTTTGCATCATCAGAGGGACAAAGGAACATGATTGGACATAGATGGTTTATAGATGTATGAGATGGGACTTCAACGTTTTGCACTGTGTGCCTTGCTTCTAAGTGAAGAGGAAAAGAGAGCACACAAATTCGGCTACAGAAAGGATGTCCCAGAAGCTGCCAAAAACAGGTCAGGAAATGCATTCAGCATCACCATGAGGCATTCTGCACTGCATGCCATGAAACGCTGCAACCTGTACCAATAAAATGTTGTAATTCATTGTGGTAGAAACTGTCTGTAATTTTTCTGATCTAATTTTGTGACAGTAACCATCACTAAAAGCTTCTTTATCATGCCTATATTTTCTTTTTGGCTTACAGGCAAAACATCTAATATATTGGATCTTGCAGCTTCAACTAAACATTTAGTACATGGTCATACTGCTTACATTATTAATTTTCTTATATTCAGAATAGAAATGCCTAGGAAGCCATTGTTTTGTGGACTGGCAGAGAGAGGCACATGGTAGACAAACGTATAACTAGAGACCTAAACATGGGTGTAAGTTGAACACTGACCATATTTGGCAGAATCACGCCCACAGCCAGATCCACGCACACAGATCTGCCAAGATAAACAGAGCAGTACATGGTGTAAGCTGTGCTGCCTGTGTGGCATGCAGTAATACACCGCTTTCCCTAGCTTTTTTTTTCCTTTATTTTTTTCCCCCTTTAACCATGGTCAGAATCCAGCCCCTGTAAGGTAACCTCTAAAGCTCAGCCTTTCCAGTCTTGGTTGGCTTGACTATTTTATTCCTCTAGATTCAAGGGCTGTGTTGCACGTCTGCTTGGATCTCCTAGTGATGGCAAGTGATTAGTGCGCAAACAAGGGCAGTTTATAGGTGTCAATGTGCTCTCTGCAGAATAGTCAAGGAATTCTATATGGATGAAATGGTCCCATCCTGCTTCATTCAATATTAAGAGCGACAAAGCAGGTAAAGGGCCTGGAGAAAAAGTCTTCTGAGGAGCGGCTGAGGAAGCTGGGGTTGTTTAGTCTGGAGAAAAGGAGGCTGAGGGGAGACCTTATCGCCCTCTACAACGACCTGAAAGGAGGTTGTAGCGAGGCGGGGGTTGGTCTCTTCTCCCCAGTAACTAGCTATAGGACGAGAGGAAATGGTCTCAAGTTGCACTACAGGAGGTTCAGACTGGACATTAGAAAGAACTTCTTCACTGTTAGAGTTGTTAAGCATTGGAATGGGCTCCTGAGGAAGGTGGTGGAGTCACCATCCCTGGAGGTGTTCAAAAAACGTTTAGATGTGGTGCTTCAAGACATGGTTTAGTGGGTTTGGTGGGTATGGTGGCATCAGGTAAACGGTTGGACTTGATGATCTTTGAGGTCTCTTCCAACCATAATGATTCTATGATTCTATGATTCTAATATCTAGTGTTACAAGTAGAACAGCATTCAGTTTTGTCTTTATTCTTTGTAAATGGTTTTTCAATATAAGTTTGGTGACCTTTTGTTTGGTGTTTGAAAGTGCAACCAGTTTCTCTATTTTCAATTTCATACACCAGAACTGCTTGGTCAATCTGTGGACTTCATTATTCTACTAAGAAGTGTTAATCAAATACTATTATAGTGTGCCTTGTGGAACATCTGTTATACTTTGAACTTCACTTTAAATATTGGAAAAAGCCTTTCACCTCTCAATATTTTTCTTTGTATTACATTTCTTATGGAACTATTACACTGTAATAGATGTGATAGTTTCTTTAAATGCTCAAAGATAAAAAGTAATTAAAAGACTGAAATAGGTAGTCACACAGATAATCAGAAATATAATTAATATTGCACTCTGACATGCTAGATCATATTTTTTGTAGATTGTCTTACTGTATCAAAGGGAGTATACAACAATCTAAGATTGTATTATGAGCAAGAGGAACAAAAAAGTTAAAATGTATGTAGTTAAAAAAAAACTTCATTTAACAGGGAAGGAAATACTAAACTTTAGAGTGATGGCAGAAGGGAAGAGTTGTAATAAACAACCTCAAAGTCATTGTGGAAAACTGCAAAACTGTTGTTTGGAAACGCCTTAGTATCACCTGTGTATGGTATTATAATGAGTTTAGTATTAGCAAACATATTTGAAGGTGTTTCCAGTATGAAGATTCTGGTTCAGGAACAAACTAGAAAACAGATAATGTATCCAGGTTAAAAAAATCAAAGGAGCAAATCCTTAGAAAGGTACATGGCAGACAGCTTTCTTAACAACAGCCTGGAATGAGTTTCGGTTTTTGAACAATGTATTAACTTTCAAAGTGGGCAGGTTCAACACCTATCTTAAAGTTTTTAAAAGTGATTCAAACAACTATAACACAGAATGTGCAAAATATACCAGGGAAAGCATTATTGTGAAACGACCTTAAAAGACCTGATTCTTCCGCACTAAAAACAAATAGGAATTTTGCAAAACACTTCAAAGATCAGTGGATGAAGCCCATAACCACGTTGAAATCTGAATACTACAACATACTGAATTAATTCTAGATTCTCTGTCACTATGAACGGCATTAAAGCTCAGTATAAATGAGTTCAAAGGCATTCACAAATTCAAATCCAGTTTTGTTTTGGTTTCATTCTTGTAAATGTAATAGGAAGGTAAAAGCCTTCCAGCTCTTTTTCTTATAAAAGTCACTATAGTGTTTATAGTCAAAACAGTGGCCTAAGACATTGTGGTGCTTCTGTATTCAGGTGTCATTTCCAGAGTGTTATTTTCTTGCTAATGTCTTTCTGAGATCTTAGAAAATAAGCTTTCTTCTCACTCAGACTTAACTCAGTGTTGCAGAAAGGTTTCCAGATTACCCTTTCTGTAGTGATTGTATTTTAATTTTAAAAAACTACTTGCAGCTAACCGTATCCTGTTCAACAGAGTATAGCTAGTAAACATAACTTCTTGCTTCCCACCCTGTAATTTTAAGTCCATCTAGATGCCCAAGTCCATGCTATGTACTACAGCACCTCACAGGAGAGTTTTGCTCTTGCTACAGATAACATGCTTGAGACTTTCTGACATAACCAGGTTGTTAACTGCCCATACTTCCACACCTGGTCACTGAAGTCTACAGAGTAAATATTTTCAACAACAGTCATAGGACAAACCTGAACTATGTGCAATCATCTTTAACTAATGCAAAATAACTTTACCAAAAACTAACTGTGCACCTCCATTGTATATAACTTCAGGGGCCAAATACATTTCAGTGAAAATATTCTTGTCATATTGTCAATTTCCTGATACAGTAAATTCCAGCCTTGTACTTTGCAATGAACTTACAATTGAGTACAAATCTGGTTCAAGAAAATTAAATTTCTAAGACCTACCAGTAGCACAGGCTATATTAACAGATGGCACTCTATTGTTTTCAGCTAGATTTTTAAGTACACCTGTGCATTTCTACTTTGCAGTGTAAAATGCCATCACTGACAATTATAACTGCTGAAAGATCTTCAATGCATAAAATTTCAAATGTTTTGTCACCAGGACAAGATTTGGGGGTTTTCATACGATGTGTAGGAATAATAAGCTTCTTACCATGGAAGTAAATGTCAAGTCCATAGAAAGAAAGGAAGAAGTGCTCCAAAGAATCAAACAAGGAAGCCAATAATACGGGAAGCCCTAATTATTGATCCTATGCTTTACCCAGTAGTCTACATAAAAATTAATGGTGACTACAGCTTACTTGTGCTGGAAAGATGTTAACTAACTCAGATACAAGCTACGCAGCCTGTCTGGCACTCTCACAGGGAGGTGAAGGTAGGACAGTGTTGAATGGTATGAAGAGTAAATTACTTTCTGAAGTCTAGAGAGGGTCCTTGTGGGGAGGTAGCAGGACACTGTAAGAAATCCCATACTGTTGCTGCTCTGACTCTCCCATTTTCGTTGACAGACAGATTATTAGTGTCCAGAAGCTGTCAGACTAATACCTTTCACCACCAATGAAATCCATAAAAGGCATAAAAATAAATTACAGCATTTTGACAAAACAAACTTGTCATCCCATATCTTTGCCTTCATTGTTCAGCTATTCCCAATTGCCAAGGTGCTCCAAAGCATGATGTATAAAAACTACAACTCAACTTGTATTTCAAGCATACAGAATGACAACTCATTTACATAGCACACATGCATGGGTTTCTCCTTAAGTGCACAAAATGATTCCCATATACTAATACTTGTTTTCATTAGATTAGTGGTAATATTTATAGAGATTTAAATTCTAACAATGCCCAAACTCAGTTTTAAGACATCAATTTTAGATGTCATGTGGACAAAATATGAGCAGAAACCATACCACACAGCAGTGTGGGAGTTTCAGAGCACAGGTACCAGATGCACATCTGGTAAATGAAGGAAAAAAAAAATATAAAAATTTCACAACAGGGCTTTTCTTGTTGGTGATGACAAGAGGGAAGTGACAGATATTATTTGGCTCTTTTGTACCTACTTGTAAACCTGCACTAGACAGTCTGCTATATTGTTGTCTTTCTAACAGCTATTTCATCAATGAAAATGGAATGTCATTCTTCAGTGCAGTACAATTACATATTATTCATTTAGAAATTGAAGATTAAGGGTGCAGGCCTCATACATGCTCTGCAGTGCCCATGACAGTTAATATAGAAGATAATTATTGGAAATAGTCTGCTCATTTTCCTACTTTGAATGTCTTCTGCCTGCCCATATAAAAAATGCCTATTCATGTACCTGACTATTTTTTGCGGTATTTATGCCATAAACATAGGGTAGATTTTGAGCTTACTTTTTCTTTTACTAAATAAATCATCACTAAAGATAGGGAAATTTTTTATAATATAAGAACTACTACATTACAATTGCATTTGTCCAATATCAAATCCACTAACTCCAATTTGAATAGTTCCTTCAGCCTATCACTGATCTTCTCCAAAGTATAGATCTATATTCAGAAACATTGCCAAATTAATAGGGCAAATACATGACCTATTAAACGTGAAAATAAACACAAATTTGAAGTAAGTGTCCATTTAACACCTTCATCAAAAATTTATTAATATCTTATTAAAATGAATGTTTAAATAAGAAAGAGTGGCCTGAACTAAACAGAAAAACACCCTTCATTTGGAGGCTGTGCTGCCTCAGTGGAAATTAGTGTCCTGTTGGTGAGCAACCAGTTACTGTTTTCATGATTTGGCTTTAAGAATGTTTTGCTCTTCGCAAGTAGCTTAGTAAAGAGTTCTGATTTTTTTATACTCTTGTAACTTGGAGGCGAAACACTTGCTAGCATTTGCTTATAACTCAAATCAAGACAGAGAAATGAAAGTCTGTCTCTATGTGCACGCGTTTGGAGAGCACAGGTGAAGGATTTGGACTGTACTGTGCAGGAAGGGCAAAGACAGTATGCATTCTTCACCAAGAAGCATGTGAGTAAAGATAAAGAAACAGAGCAAGAAAAAATGAGAAACAAGAGAAGCTCTCAAAGCAACAAGAACTTATTAGAATGAGCCTTAGCATTTGGGAAAGTTGGAGTTCAGAGGGGCACCATTTCAGTCATATAACCTGAAAACATGATTAAATCCCAAAGCATAGATTTTTCTTCAGAGGCCAGAGGGTGCCTGGTGGAAACGGAACTGTTAAGAAGAAATGATGCTGCTTCCATATATGTCTTATGGAATTGCTTAAGTTTTCCTCCTACTGGAAAGGATGAAAGTGTTTTGAAGTCAAGAGATATTTAATTTTCTCTTACAGATTTCTTAAGCTCATTTCTGTGGGGATCTCATTGTTCCAATAGCCCTTAATTTTTCTGATGTTAATGTGGGTTTTTTAGATTTTTCATGCTTTGAGCAGTTGAATCTATTTTTTTCATTGGTTTTATGTAAACAAATTGTTGATGAAACAACTTAGAAAAAAGTTGCTTTATAGTATCAAGCAGATACTCTTCCATAAGCACATCCTAATTTATTTAACAATAAATTTAAACTATATTTAAATTATTTAACTGTAAGTAATATTCAGAGTATAAGATAAACATAATTTTGCTAAATGAAATCACAGAACATGTCATGTTGCTGTGGAAGTAACTGATACAATTTTTCTCCCTAAATACAAAACCCATAAACTAAGAAAGTATACATACATATGTATGTACACGTTATTTAAAAGAAGTACTGAGTTTAAAGAAATTGAGGAGGGAAGGAGGTATTTAAGTTCACTTTAAAAAGTAAACAGCAAACACAAAAATTGAATTTCATCCTGCTGCAGGTTGAAAAGAAATATAGTCAGCAGCAAACAACCCCCTTTTGTTTAACACTTCCAGTTCAAGCCTAAAAAGAACTTCTATATCCCTCCAAATTAGTGGTAGTTGTGAGAACACACAAAGGGTTATTTCATTCCTTTTATGGATGGAGAGCCTGAAAGCTGGCCTGAATCAGCGAGGTGGTAGCACATATCTGCACTGCCATGCAGATTGTTGGTGCAAAAGGAAGAAAGGACTCCCATCCCCATGGTTACTAGGGATGTTAATAAATTCTTCCGTGGTGAAGATCAGACACCATAGAACCTTCTACTTCTAAACTAAACAAAAAAAGGAGCAAGACCAGATCAAACAGGGCAAAGTTATATAATACACCCGCTGGACAGTAATGCCATACAAGAAGCAAATTGCAAGAAAGGATGGCTCTGGATATTATCAGAATGAAATGCTAATGAACAGAGCTTGCTATCTGATTTTGTCTCCATGGTAAGAGCAGCAATGAGAAGTATAATGCATGCAATATCCATATTGTTGTGCTGTCAGAGAAATGGCACTGGTAACAGATTTTGCCACTGCATCAATTCAGTGCTTTCTTTTCTTTTCTTCATATTCCACATAAAATAAATTTTGAAAAAGCAAAACACAACTCAACCCAAACAAATTAGTAATCTTAAATGTGTCTGATTATTTTTCATGAGAGCCAGCAAAGATTTCTTCCTCATATTGCTGGAATATTTTATTTTATAAGCCTCATCTAGCACAGCTCAAAGACAGTTTGGTTTGGGTTTTTTTTGTTGCTGCACATAGCTATCTGCTCTACAGGAGGAAAAGCAGGTGACTCATTTAGTGCAATTACATCACCTTGATTCTCTCCCATTTCTAACTGATTGGCAATGGCCAGTTTATTGTGTTTAAATAATCAGCTCATTGTGTTTAAATTTTCTTTACCACGCAGCTCAGTTGCACTGAGCTAGTGGCTTCATTATCTGTAACTCCCTCAGAGCTCAAGAGCAGCAAAATCGTAAGTCAATGATCCACGCCAAACTGGCGCCCACCACAGTTTAGACAGAACGCTCAAGCCATGCAGGCTTTGTTTTGTCAATAGTGGTACCTACTACCATTGATTGTTCAGTAGATATTCTATTTGAAATGCTTTGCTAGGCAGGACATAACAAATTGGTACAAATGAAAACATTATCCCTTGATTTTGACTGTACGTGTGTGTTTGCATTAAATAAAATGCTTCATCTCTTGTATAAACAGAGCTTTTCATCGTAGAACCCAGTCTATAAATATGTATTACTTCACTTCCTTTTACAGCGTAAGTTAAAAATGTAGTGCTAAACACAAAAAGGTTGCCACCCTCAGAAAACTAGGATTTGGGATGATTCAGTGAGTGCTAGATCTTTCTATTTCAGGTCAATCATTTCTGGGAGTGGTATTCAGCTATAATGCGTAGAGGTAGCACAGAAAGCCTTCTGCCTTTAAGAGAGCTGATTTACCAAGGAAGCACACACAAACCATCTGTTTTGAGAGCCTCTGTATACATCCTCATATGTAATAACCAAATTCAGTGGTTGATGGGATCAGTGATCTGTCTTTTTTTTTTTTTTTTTATACTAGAAATGCGCAGGAAAATAAAAAGGAAAAGTGTAATATATATGGTCAGCACTTCTCTCATGCTGTAAGAGGACAAAGGGGTATGGAACAGCTCTTAGACCATACGAAAGCCATGAAGACTCCAGTGTTGAGTTACAGGTTAAAGGGAAAAGCTCTTTCTTGCTTCCTCAGGATGCATAATTTATTTCAAAGTATAATCTCTATTAGTTTTTACTGTCATCATGATAGTAACACCAGGTCAATAGTCACAACAATGTTCAAAGGTGAGTTAGGATGTGAATGAAAAAGAATTACTGGCAGAACACTTTCCCTTTAAGAGTGGGGCATTTTGCACTGCCTAGTCTGAGCAATCTCCAACTTTTACAGGTCAAAATGTTTAATGTTGCTTCAGTGACTTGCTTTAGAGTCATTTAAAACTATTCAGTAGTAGATATGGCCCAATCCCTTTTCCACCTGAGCACAGCGGGAACAGGAGAGGCACCCAGTTTTAGCATTGTAGTCAGATAAACTGTTCTTTTAACAAGAAACTCACTGTAGGCTGTCTCCAATACTCTTGGGATTCAACGTGCATGGCTTCGAGTTACACTCAGATCATATGGAAAAGAGGTATAAATGAGAACCAAGCCACAATGCCAGTGTTGGCCTTTTTTTATATGACTTTGGGTTTGTTTTATTTCATTCTGTTGTTACATTTTTTAAGACATAGAAAGGTAATTCTTACCTCTTAAAGGAGCCCATTGTTAGTAACTTGTTCATCACAGCACCTTCAACCTCCCCAAAAAAGTAACCGGTCTGTAAAGGGAAAATGCAAGAAATTACCAGAAGTGTAGATAAATGCAAAACAACACTGGATGCAATTTAAACTGGCACATTCTAGGATCTGACAAGAATCGCTCTGACAGTTACATAGATAGGTTTTCAGGACTACTGCTACATAAAAACTGAAGAGGACTTCACAGTCATGGCAAGTTATAGGGATTACATTATTACCCCTGAGCACATGTCAGAGCTTAAACAATATATTAAGGTACATTATATAACATCTAATATCAGAAATAAAAGCCATCCAAACCTAAAGCTCGTAAAGAAAACACACTAATCTGATCACAAACCCTTGTGATTAAAATGTTACTCAAAAAAGATATAAACAGGTTGTGAGGGGATTTCATAAACAGTCATTAAAAAGCATTGTTTATAATTCCTGCATGACCTGTTTAAGGAGCTGAAATAGTCCATTTCATCAATCCTATAAATTTCAACTCCATTCAGAGTCATTTCATAGTTAAAACCACTCAGCCTGATGAATTACTCATTTTGTCCTTGTTCAGTAGATGTGGACTAATAAAAATAAATCTCTGTTGAGAAAACAAACATTTATGTTATGAATTTGGTATGTAATATGGAGGTGACTCCATCATCTGCAGCCATTCAAATGACAGTGGAAAATCTTGCATGTACAGCATTTTTCGAGTTTGGGAAGACATTTTTTATTTTAGAGCCTCAACTCCCAGAAGGATTGGGTATGTTCTCTGCATTGTTTAAAGGGAGAAATCCCACAATTTATGGGGGGGAAAGGGCACTACACTCTCAAATTGCATAGATTCCATGGGTTTTGTATGAAGTAAACCCCAATTCCATTACAAGGAACTTAGTTGACCTCAACTATGCACCTGGGAGTTCACAGGCAGAAAAGTTACAGCCCTAGCTAAAACAAGGCGTTCCTCCACCTAAAAAGCAAGTATTGCCTTTTTTCTTTCTTTTTTTCAGTCAGGGGAAACTTGGAACATTATCCAAAACATGCGGGTATGCAAAGTCTCCTAGAAACAAGAGGAACATTTGTAGCTTATATGACTAAAAATACTAGATTCAATAGCCCTAGCTGACTGATGAAGAAAGATTATCCTACCTATTGGAGAGGCAGTCAATGTCAAAAAGTTCAAACCATAAATGACTAGCATAACCTTAGATAGTAATAAACCTCATTTATCAAGTTGTGCTTCAGTCTTATAAAGACATTTCAGTGACAGTTCTCTCCACAAAAGCTCCGTTTGTAAATGCTAGTTTCCCCCAAAGCAGTAACACCCAGACTATCATTATTTTTTAATACATTAGGATTTAATTGCAATTCAGATGAAGAATTATGTTGTCCCCAAAAAAGATTCTTAGAGTGGTTCAGATAATTTTTGGAAAGTATAGAAAAACAGTGCTGAAGCAACCCGAGACAGGTTAGCAATTGATAATGCATCATCCCACTTCCCTATCCCTTCTCTATCCCCAATAAATATAGAGTATATATGTACATACACATATAAAAATAAGCATATAGTATTATAATTAACATAATCTTACTATAGCATCATATAAACATAGAGACAACTTTACTGTCCATCTTCTGCTTAGATCCATTGTAACTAAAAAACTAGGTCATAACACATTTCTAGCCTAGTTCCGGTCCAAAAGTTGTCCACCCTATATTCTTCATGGGAACACATAATGGCTATTATTAGGTAACCTATCAAAGGAAAAACCTCTTCCTATTCATATTTATTGGCTGTGTAGCCAACTATGAACTAGCAAATCAGTTACACAAGTCACAATTAAGTACCTGAGAATAATAACAATGACGACAGGGGGAATAATGAGATAAAAATGTTTTAAATGTATCAAGATTATTCTACAATGAATGTTTTTCTTAGGTCATTGTTCAACTAAGTAGAAAATACAGATTTGGTAGCTAGATACATGGGTTAAAAAAACAAAACAACAGCTGCTTCTAACATAAAGCAGTTAATATGTAAACAGTGTTACATTTTTAGTGCATATTGGTTTTTGGGTACGTCCTAGAATTATATACAGAGCATGTTTGACATTCTAAAGGGATGAAAGTAACAAATTTAATAAAGTATAACACAATCAATTTCAGTGCTCAGTTTTGCATATAAGATGACTAATACATGACACAGTACAGTATGCTTAACAGTTAATGCTCTAGTACACGTTGGAAGAATAATAGTTTCAGAAAAATTGTATTTCCCTTGTTATTATGTGCTAACAGACCTTTCAAAGTCTCAACCAAATTGAAGCAAGGGAGAGAGGGATCACAAGGAAACATGTAATTACTTTTGCACAATGCAAAGGTGAAAAATATCTGTATCTTTTTACTTTCAGAAGTGTCAGGTTTAAGGTTGCAATAATTCAAGCTTTTAATTTAAAAGCAAAATGCTCAGTTTGGCTTTTTCTTTTGCTATTCACTTTGAGGTTTTTTTTTATCTCCTCTCCAGTCACTCTTCCAAGTCACCCAGAACTCTTTCCAACAGCTATTTCTCAGTAACCAACCTAGTCATAACAAATTTAATTCACCTGAGGGCTAAGTAGGAGCGTGGATATTCCTTTTCATAATCCCAACACATAAAAGAAATTTGACTTCAGACAATACTGGCATAATTGGGGCACCATCCCAGCAGTTTTCAGGAAAAGTTAATAAGAATGGTGATGGTTCTTTCATAAAGTTTGCAGGATTGAGCAATTATACATTTATTTTCCAAAATTTTTCCATGAAAACAAAGCAAATTAATGTTTTGAATGATCTTCTCATAAATCATGATCCTTGTCCTCTCTGTTGTCAGGCTGAGTGCTTAGTTCTAATCCTTCAATGACTGTAATCCACTTCAGAAAACAAACTCCTCAGCTAACAGCTCTGTAAAATTTCATTACCTCAAGATTGAATCTAACAGCTCTGTGTCCCCAGCATCCTCCCTCACTCCCCAACCTTTCCATGTAGCAAAAATGCCATAGAAAATCTTTTTTTTTCTGGGGGTAAAAATGTCTTACGGAAGACAGATGCTTCTGCAGCAAAAAAGCCCTTTAAGAGAACATTTATGAGTTTAAGAGCAGACTCTGCCCCAGTGGGAGACAGAAAATGAGCTCCTGTGAGAAACAACTTGCATTCTTGGTTGATGGAATTTTTTTAATTTTATATTACTAATTCCTTAACATTTTAAGACAGTGGTCTATTTAAAGAACAAGTAATTTTATATGAATGTATTACATGAGATGATTGAATAAAAAATTTTTCACTTACCTGCCTATAGTCTTCAGACACTAAAATAAAACCATTATTATCTATTAGGTAACAATTGATTGCCTGAAAAATAATAAAATACAAATTTATTTTTTCATTTCAGGATAGAGCAATAAGTTAATTAATTACTTTAATTCAAGTGACTTCTAAATGGGCAAAGCCTTCAGGTTGTTATAATGGCTTATATAACTTCTAAGTGAATACAGTCTCAACTTATGGGATGTTATCTGATTTAATCTTTATGCATTTGTTTCATGCAAAACAAAACAAAGATGTGTACAGAAAGGGAGGATATAAGATAATTATAAACAAACATAAAAAGAACAAGGTCAGTGGTTTTATAATCAATTCTTAAACGTTTTCCTTATAACTAAGTTTGCAAAGGCATAGAACTTTGTTGCTCCTGATGGTTTCTCCTGTATTTGGAGAAAAACATCAGCATAATATCATTACCCTAATGATGTATTAATGAAAACACAGTGTCAGCCTGGAGGACCAACAGGGGACCAGGTAATATTTTTTAATTTGTTCATTGGGGGATGGGACCAGAAACTTCTGTGAAAGAGGCCCCATAGGTCTCCTAAAGCTTTTCAAATTGTGTTTTTAATTGGGAACTGGATTTAGAGGTAGGACTGTTAGCTTGTCGTAGGTCAGACGTATGAACTGTATAAAACAAAGTAAACCCAAATCAGTGCTTCCCTCCATACATGCATGTGCTATTTTAACCTCAAGTGAATTACTTGCTACAGGCAAAGTTTTAATTACTGCGCTTCAGAGTTTAAACATAAGGTTCAACTCAAACCTTGATGTAACTCAGTTTCTCTTCAGTATTGCCAAAAACCTACCTCAGCATTAAATCTTTAACACATTTCTATCGTTGGTCTAAACCAGCAAACATTTTATCATTATTTCTTGAATTTTCTGTGACATTTGTGTAAAACAAAACAAAACAAAACAAAACAAAACAAAACTACAATGGCTTCCAATATAGGCATCATCATGGCTTTGCTTTTAATTGAAAACCTTTCCTGCTGCAAATGGGCTGCACAGAGACATGATAAAATATGCTTTTGGCTACACTCTGCACATCCAGCAAAATCTCTCTGCTGTTTCAGAGTGGAAAGCAGTTCTATGTAGTAGCATTTGTGCAAGACGTAGTGAAAATGCAGTCTGATTTTTCAAGACGTGATTAGATATGTCTGATTCTCATTCTGACCACATACTAGTACTGTTTTGTGGGCCTGAAGAAGAGGAGAGATTTGCAGAAATGCCGGCTTGAAGTCCAGTTTTTAAAAAAGCAAAGAAGCCCAAACCAGGCAAAAGTTTGGAAAGAATGTCATTCCCTTGCGCAAATGCAGGATATTCATTCTAATAGGGGAACCTAAGCTACAGACAACCCCAGTGACAGAAAACTTGTCAAAAAAGAAGTTGAAACAACTCATTTCCAACCTTTGATCTGCTAGAAAGCCAAAAATTGGCAAATGCAATGTGAAAAGCTGATGATGCTGGCAAAGAATCGAGTAGAGCTAATGCATTCAGAAGAGGCAGCTACTTAACCTCAATGGTGTGTGAAGGGTGGAATTTCAGAAGTAGACTGTAACACCAGAACACTGCTCTCCCCAAAGTCAATCATAAACCTCCCACTAACTTTATTAGGAGAGGAGCTAAGTCAACAAAGAGCTCTTTTGAGGATACATATTTGCAGTCCTCATGCATGAATGATTAATCTAAAGATAGTGCTTTAGAAACAATATTTCTCCACAGTATGGAAAACAAATGAAAGTAGTTATGCTGGACAAGAAAGAGGGTAGGCTTAATTTCATAGTTTACAGATTATATGCAGTTGGGAAAACACTGGCTTGATTCAAGAATTAGAGGCCGGGTCTCAAATCTCTATTCCATAGCCGTTCACTAGCATCATTCAGAATTTTAAAAGATACTAATTTTTTAGCATTATTATTGGAAACAGGCATAACGCAATAAGTGGAATCTGTATCTTTTTGGAGGAATGTGAAGATAAGAGAGTTTCTATTTCAATCCATTTAAGAAACATTAACAAGGGAAAACTATTCATTCAGGACCATTCATTCACCTGCTTGCCAGCAAGATAAATAACTTCCAATATTCATCACTACATTAAAGAAACAGTTTGTAACTTAAATTTAGCACTGACAAAGGACAGTGGGGTGCATTTACTCGTTCAATGCTTTACCAAATCTCAAACAGAAGATTTCAAATACAAGATCCAGGCATAGGACAAGAGCATTTGCATAGACTAGAGCTGTATTAAAGAAGTTTAATTCACAATGTTTCACAGGTATTGGAAGTGAATTATGCACAGGTTTGCCCAAAGGTTCAAGTTCAGTGAACTTCAGATTTCAAGGGGAACATTCCATAGGTGGAGAGTCCCTGAGCTTGTAAAATAGAGTAGGCATGAAGTCCAGAATAAACACAGCAAGAATGTTAACTGAGGTCTGAGAACACATTCGAATTACCGTAACTTTGATCAAATTCAAGTCCTCTATATATTTTTCACAGCTCCAATATACAATAACACTAATGGAATGTAATATGGGTTAAGAAACCAAAAATCAAAAAGAAAGAAAACAAAACATTAAAATAAAATGTGAGACATCAGGAAAATGAGAACAGCAAATTCAAAGCTCTCAAAGAAAAAAAAAAAAAGGGGGGAAAAAAAAAGGATTTCTTATTAATGGGATGTCTGTATTTGAGAATCAAAAGATTTCACAAACTCATCAACTAATTCTCTGTTATGACTATTGTGCTGCTTTATTTGCATTAATGCCTTAATACTTACTTTTAAATGCTTTAATTTGTACCACAACTGTTCAGCAGATATTTTCTTGTCATTGAGAAAAGACAGCTGTGAAAGTTAACAGACTCAACAGAGGAGCTGTGATATTTGATTGAGTCCTATCAACAGTATATTTTGTCATTTAAAAAAAAATTGGAATCTCTAAATCACCAAGGTTCACACTATTACTAAATTTCTCCATATGCTTACATGGCTCCTGCTGGTATCAAGTGAAAGCAGTTGAAAAGACTTTAAACTGCTTGTGTTTTCTTTACATACGGATGGAATAGCAAAAGAAGTTCTGCATGAATATTTAGCCAAGTATATGACTATTCTTATTAATGGCCAATACAATAAAAAAGAGTAGATTGTTTCTGGCTGTGCCTTCTTGGAATCTTCATCAGGGTGTTCTTGCTTCTTAGCAAGGACAGACCAAAAAAGTTTTTGCAGTAATGATAATATGCTTGTTTTGATGAAGTAATTGGACACTTTGCAGCAAGCACGTCTTACACAAGAAATTATGTAATATTACTATTCTATCACAAAGGTTATTGCAAATGAAGGAAGTAATTTCTGCCTAGTTTTTAATCCCCAAAGCATGGTGGTTTAGGCCAAACAAGGAGATTTTATACACCACTCTATCTTTACCCAGACTACTTGCAGTTATATGTTTCAAGCTGGTTGACTATGACTAGAAACCCATTGACGAAAATATTTAAAGCTGCTGGAAACAATTCAAGGTCACGCTTGCACTTGAAGTCTATGGCAAGCAACAGTAAAGCAAGGACACAAAACTTAGCTAATTAACAGTTCTACAGACCTTCTTTTTCAGTACGTACCTGATCACTCTTAGGAGAATGGGGTAATAAACTTCATAAGCTCACCTTAAAATTGGCCAATATGCAAATGACAGCCTGGAATTTGGGCTAAGTAAGAACTTTCACCCACACCTGGGTGGAATCTGCTTTGGTTTTCAATACTTTATATTTGGATAATTTTACTTAATGATTAAAATTATACAAGCTTTAAATGGAAGAGTCTGTAAGTTGTTGTAGCTAGAAATGCAAAAAGATCTGTTGACTCATATGGTCCATTTCATTGCCAAAGATGGCATGAACATCAGGCCTTTGTGTTTTGGGTCACTGCAAATTTTATTTTCTATTATTTATTGCGATCTCTATCCTCCAACTGTTAAATCCCAGAGTCCCATAATAGATGATTTATAATTTGTTCTAAGTTTTGCTGATTTGGTATGCTGATGAAGTTAGTGTTCCACTCTTAGAACTGATGCTTCAAGTTCTGCCTTTCTCCCTGGAATGGCTTTTATCACTGCACCTATGTCCTCGACTCACTTTTCAATAAAACACATTTCAATGTCACAGCATATGAGGTTATGAAGTAGCATCCTAGAAGCCAGATTGCTAGGACTGATGATGTACCTTTTAAACTTTTTATAAATTAATTTACACAAAAGTAATAAAAAAATTAAAATAACATTTTTTGCCTTTAACAACTAAATATCCAATACAATAATGGCACATATTAAAGCACTCCTCAAACACATTCGTCAACCTTTTTTTACCATAGTTACTTTAAAGTTTTGAATTACGTATCCTCAGGAAAGCCCAACTCTGCTAACTTTCACTATAGGAAACATCACACAGTCCTTTATGTAACCATTCTTGTTAATTTTTTTATGTCCTGAACATCCCTGAACAAACTTGGTGCTACACAACACAGAGCACACTCCAAATTAATTAACTATTGTATAGGCAGGAATACAGTCAGGGCAGCAGTCCAAGTGCTGGAAGATGTGGAGATTTCATTGGAAAGACATTAACACAGGACAAGCAGCAGCTCCATGATAAGAAGCGGGAGTCTATTTCAAATGCTGGGACAGTCAGAAAGAGATCTGTAAGGCGAGACTATAAGAAAGATGAGAGAGCTAAGAAAGAGGTAAAAAAAGACATAGAATACCGCAAATAATATATGTGGGTTCCTATTGTAAAAAGTAGTGACACAAACTGGTGAGAACTTGAAGATATTCAGAAGAGATGGCTTCAGAGAAAAGACATAAGAAGGTGTTGTTTAAACACGAGAGTTTGCAATATTAGGGTTAACTGCTCCATTTTTCATGGTTTGCTGCAAGTACTATACGCCATGCTTTGTTGAAAAGGGTTTAAAACTAATGCTGTGCTGATTGCTGATGCTTGGACATACAGATAGCAGCTTTCCTGAAAACAACTAAGCATGTATAAAAAAACTGAATAAAACTGTATAAAAACTTTATAACTGTATAAAAAATGTTACCCTACTCGAAAAAAAGATTGCAAAAAACATTACATTAGCATGAATTACAGAGCAAAACCGGCTCTTCCCTTTTATGTAAGTTTTCCAATAGTTCTTTTGGCCACTGTATGAAAAGTACCATACAAATACAGCCTGCAGTGTTTATTTCCAGGTGCATGAATTTACACTTTATCATGCTTAAATTCACATAGCTTGTTCAAGCATAGTTTATCCAGCGATCCAGATCTCCTCACACCATTCACTCAGTTTAGAGATAACACGTGGATGTTATCAGTAATTGCTTTGTTTTCTTCCAAATCACTAAGTATACATGATACAATATCTCAAATCCAACTCTGGTTTTCTAGAATCTTGTTTGCCTAATTCCTCCCTAGACATCAATATAGTCTGTGCTTTATTAACCACTTTTTAATTCATTTAACCTGTGATACATTGGTTGCTTAACCAAAACATCATATGGTATGATGTCAAATGCTCTGCAAAAATCTATGCATAAGATATTAAAAATACTATTTTTATCTAACAAACTAAACTACATAAAAAGCTAGTTCAGTGAGTTCATTAAGCCAAAGTGACTAAGATTACTTCTTTTTTTTATTTCTGAAGTGCTACTAATGTATTAGTTCTGCATATATTCAACTCTGAATTCATGTCTAATTCTAGTGTGAACATCAGAGACTAGCTTCTAAGATGAACAATAAAGTAGTAAAAAAACACCTTAGAACAGCTTCAAATTATTTCCAATACTGGATTCACAAAGGACAAGTTTTACAATACATATTTGAGCTATCGGTGTCAACTTCGTAATTAAATGAGTATTTGTAAGCAGAAAAAAAGTCTCACTGTCTAAATAGTATAATATTTAGAAGGTGATTCCAAATTACACCAGAAGATTATAATGTCAAATTAGATGTTCAAACTAAATTAATCAACTTTATGCTTTATGTTCCACTGCAGTAGAGGTATAAATGGAAAAAAAAAATAAATCTGTCAAATACTTACTTCATCATCACAACTTATAGCACATCTGCCATCAAGAGACGCACACTAGAGATGATATTAAAAAAATCAATAACATGTTTTCATTTCTCGTTTGATGATTACAAAATATGACTTTTTCAAAATCCATATGAGCACAATTATAAAGAAGTTTATATTGATTACATTTTTACCTGACAGCAATTGTTCTAAAAATGACTAGGAAAGTTTTAAATCTGTTCACCAATCCTGTTCTGTTCATGTCTGCAGAGAAAGGGTGTATTCATGCTGTAACAATGTCAACTGTTTTAAACACCATAATCTCCTCCATGTGTTAGAAGCTTGGAGACTATTCATAGCCAATACATTATTTTCCAATAGGGGTGGGGTAGGACCTGCATTTTAGGGGTTATTTTCTGAAACAGTACAGTTCCAATCTATTCTCAAAATAGGGATGCTATCTCCTAATATTTAGAAAGTACATGATTATCCTGTTCAACGAGTACAAATTCTATATCCTGAACATTTTAGGTATAGTTTATTAAATACTATGAATGCCAATCAGGATTCAGTAATCTAGTTTAATTAATTAATCTATGTGATACTTCAGTTACTGAATGTTAGAAAACAGGTCCTAAGTAAGTAATTCTGCTATCACTGAAAACAAATAAATTATTGCAGTTTAGTCTCCTGTTTCCGCTTTTTCTGAGGGAGAAAATCAACATGTGTCATGCCAACAAAGTAACTCCTTATGTATAGGAGCCTAAAATTAGGCCTAATTTCTACTTGCTTCATAAATATGGGATCAAGCAACTGGTTTTGACCACTGAATTCTCTTTCTTGTAATGATAAACTAGAATGTAAATCAGAAGAGCTAGCCATTATATATTTCAAATACATTGTTTCTTTACAATATTTTTGCTTGTGACAAAAAAATTGCAGATCATCATCTGCACAGCTAGAAAGCTGTTGTGGATTCAATGACAAAGAAAATTTTGGTTTAAAATATACCTGTCTGCTTGCGGTCCAAAACTTCCGCTGGAAAAATTCAAGTTTCATCTGGATACCTACAGCTGGGAAAGACATAAATAAAAAAAATAAAATAAAAAAAAATAAAATCAGTGTATCTAATTCCTTCAAAATCATTATTTAAAATTAATCAGAAGGAAAAACAGTCTTATAATAAAAAGGGAAAGTAAGCCCTAAGATAATAAAACCATAACTAATTAAATTGAAGAGACCACACAGTCATATTTTAAACCATTTACAACTTGGTTAAACATGAAGACATTGCTAATATAATGTGAAGAATACACAAGGCAAATATCATTCAAATTGCATATATCTCCATAATTAACATAAAAGCTGAATGTATTTATGTTCACATCGATCTCGAATTTATATTTTACTGATACCAATATAACAGCTGTAAGAACACACACTATGTGTTTTGTGCTGAAACAACATGAAAATGTTGGTTAGCATTTCAACGATCATTTGGTTTTGGATCATTTAATCCATTAATTACCAGGGGAACACAAGAAGCCTATTCCAAACATTAAAAACTTCTTTAAAAATTGAAATTAAGAGCATTATGTGCAATTCTGTCAAATTGAAGTATCTGACAAACATTAGTGGTTTTCAAATTTTTTAAAAAAGGACACTAATGATAATAACTTGTAATTTTTTAATAAGGATTCAAGATAATACTGGTTTAAATTATATATTTCTCATAACCTTAGGTGGGATTATGTTTTTTCTAATATCGGTGAACCGTTCTTCCAGTCTAGTCTGATGTTCCTATCAGACCCAGCACTACATTTTTTGTATTGAGCAACAAAACAATGCATTATAGTTTGCACAAGCTCCAAAGGCAGTTGATTCTTCTGGTTTCACCTGCTTAAATGAAGAGAACGATAACATATCCATCTACCTGTGCTGAAAATTTCTGTATTAGTTTCCTTTTACTTAAAAGAAGTTAACATGATGAAGAATATAGCAAGAAGACATGGACAGAGGGGCTAAAGACATCTGCTTTGATTGCTCTTACCAGCTACTGCTGCATCCCCGGACCATGTCTTTTACGCTCTCCGTCACTCACTGAGCACGCCTAGTGCTAGGCTTTTCTGCAAAAGTGTTTCAGTGCTGGCCCCAGTGCTGGCCCTGTACCAAAACTAATACTAGTTGTTCAGTACAATTTATCAATGGGTTCTATCTAGTTCGATGCCCTACAGCTCTTTCATGTCATCTTAGAGGATATGTAATTGCTAGGGTAAGGAAGAATTAACTGGGCCCTAATGACTAATCTATAACCTTAGTATACTATTTTCTTCACAAAAGCTACAGTTTTTAAAGCCTGGAAACTCTGAAGACCTAACTTCTAGCAAATTCTTTGCTACAATGTTTTGTTTAAAAACAAACAAAAATTTTAAAAAATTTAGGGTTTTTGGAAAATTGAAAAAAAAATTCATTTATTCATACCTCCTCTAGGATCCACAGCAGGGATCATTTAAAAATATATTTACATTTAGATTACTGGTACTTGCTTTTGGAAATGCACACAGGCTCATGTCATGCATATATTTTATTTTGTGTTAGCAGGTAGGAAAAAATCTATGAGACAAAATCTGAACTAATACAATGGGATGTGAAATTACATAAGGAATTTTCTTATTATAGCAGGTTATAAATAGTTCTCTGCTATCTGCAACTCATGGACTTTTTTTGCTTAAGAGAGTAAGTGAAGAAATCCAGTTCTCCTTTTGAATAACCTCCAGAGGAGACTCTCTCCAGCTACATTTTATTATCTAGTAATTTATTTTACAGTCAACGAGAAGATGCTATCTGACAGCCATACAACACATGTTTTCTCCATCTGTTGTTTGCCTTTAGGTTCATTGCTAGCACGCAGGTGATTTGCATATCCTACCCACTTTTTCTGAAATGGAGGCAAAACCCACACATTTTCAGGAACTTTCCACAAGGAAATCGTATTGCTTCTGGATGCCGTATCAGTATTTGAAATGTCAATCTCATACTACATTTCTACCTATCCATTTAATCATGTAAGAGCTAATGTAAAACCATTTATATCAGTAAAAGTCATCTTGATTTCAGCAAGCAAAGTTTATGCCTTGTTTTCTGCATGTGAACATTCCTGTTGTATTCCTTGAATGAAGCCACACAATCAACATTAAATACGCAAATAGGTATCTTGCTGAATTAAGGCCTAGATTTGACTCTAACAGTCTAAGATCCAACCTGCAAAGAATGCCATCTTTTGCAGACTTCAGGTGGAGTCAATAGCTTTCTGATCACAGAGGGTCACTTCTTTTCTAAAAGATACAGAATGAACAAGCTTTCTCAGCAATAAAACATGGTATCTAAGGGAAAATGGAGTGGAAAATGATTGTCTTTACTCTGCATTGGAAAAAAAATGTAGTTTTTTATATCTGTGTTGTGAATCTTTAAATGTTTCTGAGCCCTCAGTTTAAAGGTAACCTTACAGGACCTAGTAGAGTCAACCTCATTTCTCAGGTGGGTCATAGCTGTAAGCCAGTATGCATTTTTCTCTGGGGAACAAAAGAATTAAGATAGCGAGACCCATGAAGCTGCATCTTTTCCCAAGTGATTTTGTAACGGCATCTTCTGGCTAATGTGTTTTGAATGACTGAATTCCTGAAAAAAACAGATTTTCAAAAGTGTTTTGATTTTTAAAGATGCACATTTTCAGAGTGTCACAGAGTTGCTATTAACTCCTACTGATTTCTATCATTCCATAACCAAGCAGATTCCTAACCTGTTTAACTATTTCCATAAACCCTCCAAAATGCTTGTCCCCACCTCTGGACTCTCAGGTGCCTTACAAATTCTGTTCCTCACTCATTCATAAACACTAACAACTTCAACCACCTATACTTACTATAGAGTACCTCTCAACAAAAGAATCTCAAAATACTCGCTAAATGTGGTTAAGTCTTAATATTCTTATTTTATTGCTGGTAAAATGATGCATAAAGGAAATGAATACCAGAGTTCACACAAAGATCTGATACAGAGGGTCACAATAGTGGAGTTTAGAATAAAACACAGATCTGTGCTTTCCAAAGCCTTATTCTCTCAGTTAGAAATGCTGCTGCTCTTAACAGGCACAGATGAGTGGACTGTGGTTAGATATTGTTCATTTAGGTCTTGATATGGTTGACCCTTTGGAGTTCACATTGTTATTAGAGACACCACCACCCCGAGCAGAGAAGCAGTTGCCAAAATTGAGAGAACTATCAAGTTCATTACCCTGATGATGTAAAAGACGGAGTTGCTATCAAACATCAGCTTAAGGTTTAAACCTGTAAGAAACGTTTATTAAGCTTTAAAGGATGAAGACAAAGATCTGTTCCACTATGTTTATGGAAGCTCATCCATTGGTGTTTATATATATCCAACATATATAGCATCTATCCAAGAGCCATAGCATATCTAAACTGCAAAATACCAGTACAGATCAATGACAGTGATATTAAAATACAAAATATTCCATTATATGTCAGTCTCTGTAATTTAGAGATTATTTGATCTGCTGTGGCTGGCCTGTTTAAAATACTTGGCAAAGCAACTTTTGATTAAATGTCATTTTTATTCTTGTAAACTATTAATGAAAGTGTAATAAATATTAAGGAACCATTAAAACTATTGTTCTCCCATAATGAAGTTGTATATAGACACAAATCTGAGCATGACATTGGACTTAGATGACCTCAGGAGATCACTCCCAATCTAAATTACCTTATGACTCTAAGATTTAAGCATAAATGTTTTGTAGAGAAGTGCTAAATATATAGCCTAGAATCTTCCTTAAATAAAAAGAAAGTGAATATATACTGAAGGTTTTCTAGTGTCCGGTACAAACTACTTACCACATGAGAGAAAATCTAAAACAGTAACAAGATAATTAGTACAAAGCTCATCTGTAAAAGAGTCCATGTTCATGTTCTAATGAGTTGCACAATGGAATGCTGTAGTATAAAGACAGTTTAAATACTGGGACTAATTTCTATGAAATGTAGAGCATCCCTCTTCATGAAGATGAGAAGAGGCAGGCAGCTGCAGTTTTGTTTTCATAATATCAGCTCTATGAATTTTGATGCTTTCCTGGACAGACTGAGGGAAAATAAAAGATAGTGAGAAATATTGGGCTTGCTCCCACTTGAGCAGATTCCCATTATTTCAGCAGTAGTGTAGTTTGAGTAGAAACTGAAGGCCCAGGCATCAATTTAGTTACTGTCTGCCTAACTTTTTTAAAAAAAGATTCAGTTTATTTCTCTACCTAACTTTTAAGAGAGCTGTATCACTAAATTCTGAGGTACAATACCATTGAAGGAGGTAAAACAGAAATGCATCTTAAACTTGGCCTATGCTGGTCAAGATAATACAATGTTATAGCGGCAACATTTTAAGTATAACACACAATATATTATATATTTCCCTTGTGAAGTATTTCCTCAACTAGAGTTTTGTAATCCTTTTACTTGTTATTAAATAATGATGTGCGACATGCTACATGCAACTCGATCTACAGTTGGACTCGATGATCTCAGGGGTCTTTTCGAACCTAAATGACTCTATGATCTGTACCTATGTTGCAGGATAGGCAGAGAAAACATAGATCCCATAAACATGGTATGGTGAAAGCAGCAATACACATTTTCTTTAAAGAGGTGTATCAATGTGAGATTTAAATCTCACCATTTTAGTTCCTTTATATTTTGTTCCTTGCACAGTTCTACATAGGAACTTCCCTGTCACTGATGGAATAACTTCAAAATATTCTATATCCTATGTAATATATAACAAATGACAATTATGGATGTTTTCTACAATTCACCTAATAATTATTTGAATGCCTCTACATTCAAAAGAATTAACAGTGTTAGCGTATGGGAAAATAATTTTTTTTTCAATCCCTAAGGTGATACCAAAGAATTTTGCAGGCTTTTTCCCCCCCCGAGCTTTTCGAGAACATTGTAACTAACATGGGATATTTTTTTTATCGGGTCATTTAATGCCTTAAGAACCA